TTCAATGCAATCATTGGAGCCACTACAAATGTTTTCTTAGTGCGTGGACTGGATCATGCGCTCAACATGCTGAGAATTGCAAAGGATTCGCTCATATTCCCCAATCCCAATAGCTCCCGCCGGAAAGACCATGATTGCCTCGACATACACCGCACGAGGGGGCACCCTAGAAGGCCTCTGGCTCGACTGACTCGCGTCATCGGGAGCTGAGGAGAGTGAAGATGGTGGTGGTACCGGCTCCGACTCTCTGACATAGCCCACGACATTCAGCCATGCTCCCACGCGCAGTTCTTCGGCGGTCAGGTCCTCAAGGATGGCATTGATGTCCACAGATACAGAGCTTGGAGCTATCTTGCTGCGTGGATAGTTGTGTTCCAGTATCAAATGGCCCGTGGCGATAGTATAATGTGTCACACTAAATGTACGCAAGAACATAGATTGCCGTTAGTATCAGAAATCCTCGACTCTATACTATTTTTCTCTGCTCTGGGCCTGACGCACCAGCCAAGAAAGCGGATCTTCGAGTCCGCCCGTAGAGATGAGAGATCGGAGAGGAACACGCGAGTCGAGGGGCGCGGCCCATTCATCTCTGCGCTAGTTGAAGAAGATGTTTAACATTGTAAAAAGCGTGAAGATTGAAAGAAAATAATAAGACGCAGACCAAAAGGTCACAAATACAACAGTCTAGATGGCGCACGTGACTGGCCTTACCGTGTATGTCATAGGCTCAGCGAGGGGAAAGTCGGCCTCCCCTCCACTTTGCATTCATCCAGAAATTATCCTTGGAAGCGCTCTCGGCGAGTCGTGTGCTCCAAACATACTGGTCACCCGGGGCTTATTTTCCGCCCTTCTCTTACTTCGCCTATCAGCTCACTGACTTTCCCTGGAGCCTATCACTCCATCTGACTCGCAGCAAAGAAAACAACCAACCTACTCTCCTCTCCTCACTCCGTATTTCCCGCCGCTGGTTTCATTTGGACATATTACCTGACCACCAGGCCTAATCCTACTTATTTACTTCCTTCGGTTTCCAGTTACACAAACACCGACATTACCATGTGGTCTTGGTTTGGCGGGGCCGCCGCTCAGAAGCGGAAGGATGCGCCCAAGAACGCTATCCTACAGCTGCGCGAGCAGCTGGATATGCTGCAGAAGCGCGAGAGGCATCTCGAGACCCAGATCTCAGAACAGGAGGCTATGGCACGGAAGAACGTTAATACAGATAAGAATGGTATGGTTGCGGATCTTGCAGATTGTTGCTACACGTCTATTTGAGAGTTGCGGACGGTGGCTAACTATTGGTTCTTCTACTATTGCGTTGAACAGCCGCCAAAAATGCCCTTCGACGGAAAAAGGTCCACGATAAGAACCTCGAGCAGACAACAGCCCAGATTATGCAACTCGAGCAGCAGATATACTCCATCGAAGCCGCGAACATCAACCACGAGACTTTAGCTGCCATGAAGCAGGCTGGCGCCGCTATGAAGCAGATTCATGGTGGAATGAAGCTCGAGGATGTCGACAAGACGATGTACGTTGTTACCGGCTCACGGAATCCCTTATCCCTTATCTATCCTATTGCCATGTCGTGACTCTTGTTATATCATGTTACAGCTATACTAATATCTCGCAGGGAGGAGCTCCAAGACCAGCATGCGCTCAGCGCCGAGATCGGAAGCGTCATTACCAGTTTCCCTATCGGCGAACAGCCGGACGAGGAAGAGCTCGATGCAGAATTGGAGGGTCTGGAGCAGGAAGCTATGGATGCGAAGATGCTCCACACCGGGACCGTACCAGTTGGCAGTCAACTGGACCGGTTACCAGCTGTTGGAAATACAGATCGTAAGCGGGAACAGGACCCTATACACAGATATCATATGTATATCATTTACTAACTGAGTTACCTATAGTCAAACACCCCGCCAAGGCACAAGAAGAAGACGACGAGGAAGCCGAGCTGGCAAAGTTGCGTGCGGAAATGGCCATGTGACAGCCTCTTACTTCTTGCCACGCGACCAATGCAGCCTCATTTCCGTTGAAGTCTTACCCTTTTTCTCTTTCTTGTTCTTTCTTTGTCTTACCCTCGCATGCATGACCCGGCCGTTTTATCAAGCAAGCCCTTTCCTCCTTTTGGTTCCCAGTGCGTCAGCATCGGTTACCCTTCTTTATTACCTCCATCTCTGCCCTCCCTATGATCCAATCCGACACTACCTAGGTATCTCCCAAGTCTCACGAGGATCTGTCTTGTCTTCTCTACTGTCACTTTTGCCCTATCTGTCTGTTCCACTCAACACCCTTTCTCAAGCTAGCTCCCTCGATCTCCTGGGTTCATGTTTATTCTTTACTTTTTTTTTTAAATGGAGTTTTAGATGACTTCGGTTTTTTCTTTCTTTTATTTATTTGTGTAAGCTAAGTTATTAATTTTAAGGTTTTCCTTGGGATATCATAATTTGAGTTGTAGGTCGGCTAGAAGATATGGATGAGGGTATTTCTTTAGGGCTCCTTGAAGAGAGAAGATATTTATAACAAAGGGTCCTGCAAAAGCTAACATGCTAGCATAATGTTGTCGTGGAAAAAAGTTGGTTCATTATTATCTAGAAATTCGCCACTCGAAGCTGAGTCCAGACATAAGACTCAGCGTTCGAAGACCGAAAAAGAAAAAAGACCAGTCAATACATCATAGAGATAGGCAAAGATATGTTCCAGGCACATGTGAGAAAGCGAAAGCAGACTCAGAAGCAGAAAGAAAGAAAAAAAAACTCCAGCGGCTTTCGCCTACCATGTCCAGCCACCCAGCCCATGCTAACCCATAAATTTCGCCGACGCACAGGAATCCCAAGAGGAAAAAATATCAAATCAGTATCAACTACAGGATTTACGGGTACCAGGCGTAACTCTTGGTTGGCTGAGTACGCTTGCCGTCCGCGGTCTCGGTGGTCCACTTGGATTTCCATTCAACCTCCTGTGCCGCAGCGTCAACGAGAGCCTCTTTGCACTCTGGCGGAAGCAACTCGAGGATCTCTGGAGTCATGAACTCGGGATGCTCGGGGTTGGCGACGGTAACCAGGCCGTTGGGTCCAATATCGTGCACATCACCGTCAGGGCCCGGGACGCCCATATTAGAATATGGCGGGGATTCATAGACGATGTCCTGGATCACGTAGTGGTCGTGGAGATGGGCGGGAACAGGGGTGAAGGTTGTGGCAGGTCCCTCGGTGGATGTTTCGCCAGTGGTGGGCTCGTGCAATTCTTGGGTTTCGTGGGAGGTGTGATTTTCATGACTGGAAGGAGAGCCTCCGTTGGAGAGGTTCAATGAGTTCATGTTCGTCGCCAACTCGGTCGGTGCGGACGCCGGAGGGGAAACGCGATCCCAGCGGGCATGGGTTGGCTGCATGATCTTCGGGTGCTGCATAATATTGGTGTGGACATCGTACACACCACCCAGATTCGCACGGCGCATATTGGCGAGCTTTGAGTTAAAGTTGCTATGTTACGTATTAGGACAGGTCCCAATGTGTTGCTCGCTATCAAATATAGACTCACCTTGCAGCACGGGCATGCTCGAGCATCCAGTTGTCATCCGTGACTGGCACACGGCGTTTCTTGGTATCGACTGGCTTTCCGCCAACAAGCGGAGCCGCAGGCGCATTTGTGTGATAAACACTGCTTGCGCCGTGCCAGGCAACGTACTGATTTCTGTTGTAAGTTTCTCCAGGCCCAGGCAATCTGTCTTCCGGAACGACCAACTCGCCCTCCACATCGCCGCGCTCGCGAGCAGCAGCTTCGTCATAGTCATCGGTGATCTTCTTGCCGCCGACGATAATCTTTGCGCCGAACTCACGGAACACTGATCGTGCGGTGACAACACCAATGGCTCGTCCCTTATACGAGTGGGGGATGAGATCGCGTTCAATCAAATCACGCTTGGCATCATCATCAATGATAATTTTGTACAACATCTTGTGCTTCTGGAAGAACAAGTACGAGTCACGGAAGCCAATGCAGCGAGCCGGTTCAGTCGACAACATGTAGAGGCGGTCTCCGCGACCAAGGATCTTGAAGGTACGGACCCGATACTCACGTCCGCCTTGTAGATGGCCATTCTCATCGACCTTAGTGGCGCCGATTGGGTCAGGCGGAATCGATACTTCGTCGTTGATCACATCCATCATGTTTCCTTCCTTGTCGACAGGCACTTGGGTAAGATGGGAGGGGCCGCGGTTGCGTGCCCAGCGTCCACCGCTAGCAGCAGGGCGACCGCGGCGTCTTTTGACTGGAGTAGTAACTCGAAGCGGTGGCTCGCCGTCAGCCGGATCCCATTCAGGCCGAGGGTTCTTAGGTGGACGACCAATGCGACGCTTGCCGCGAGGGGCAAGTGATGGGCGACCAGGCCCGTAGGAAGGTGTATTGTCTGTGTCGGCAAAAATCGAGTCTTCTGCGGGGGTCGCAACACTCAATTCTTCCTCTGGCTTGGGTGTGGCAGGTGTTTCGGGAGCCTGAACTTCGGCGCTCTCGGCCTCGGGTTCAAGTTCAGGTTTAGATTCCGGTTCAGCCTCCAGTTCGACATCGGGATCCTTCTCGGAGTCTTCTGGTTCGGCTACGGGCGAGGAGAGGTGCGAGGAAGGAACATCGACCATTTCCTCATCAGAGCCATCTGGAATTGAAGGTGTATTTTCTGAAGCTTGTTAGTCGCAAACGCGTCTTAAGGGGAGCGTGAAATTCAATGCATAGTAGAAGGGATGGGTGTTTGTGGCAGATGCGGGCCAACATGGTTGGGATCAACTCACTTATCGACTTTGCAGCCGCCTGGGCGGCCGCCCTTAGTTTTCGTGGCATTTTGTCGATGGTTGGTCGATATGCTGGGGAAGCGCAAATGGGGAGGAATAGCTGTTTTGCGAAGGGCCGAAGTTTTTCCGGAGGCCCTACAAACTGCAAACATGGCAAACATGAAATGATACAAACAAGGCAAACCCTTATTATCCCATATGATGTCATACGCTCTAGTTCTTACTCCAACGGAGCATTTCGGGCTGCACGTCTGCCCGGCCGTTGATCGGCAAAACATCCTGCTTTCTGATTGTGCTTGGATATCCGTTCTTTTCTAATTCTAGACTCTTAACCGCCATTGCCGTATCAAACGACCCCATCTTGAATTGATACCATAGGTTGCCCGCATAGGACAGCATCTTGGGCTTTGTGTTACCCCCTAGTTATGGGAGTGCGGGGATTCAATGCTCAGATGAGTTCATCTATGGATCTACATGTTGACAGAACCCCGTAAATACTCACCGGTTGTTTAATGCACCGTTCTCTCCCGAGTGACATTGCCACTAGTGGGTGTCAATTGCATATATCCAACAAAGAGACGACTGCATCGAAACGCATAGGTTAATTGCTTGTGTCACCACTGATCTCATTCTGTGCCTCTATGCGCAGTCAAGCTCCAATATCACATGTGAGAGATAGCTCCTAAGTCGAACTCCCTAGGAGGCTCGAGCAAACCATATCCCGAGTCAGTAGCAAAGTTGTCTGGGGCGAAGGAACATGTTTCAATTCGCAGTAGCGAGTCACCGCTTGGACCAGGTTGCTTATGGATATCTGAATTGGCCCTACTAACAACAAATTCGATTAGCATAGTAGCATATTAAAGTCAGCAGACGAGGAAACCCGAATAGTTAATACGACAACGTCCCCCGGAAATATATTTAATCTGATCAGTATAATTTCTGCAGGCAGCTGGAAGGTTGAGAAAAGTCAACCTGAGTGGCTTTCAAAGGTGCTTACTTTGTTGTACAACAGATGGAGTACAAGCCCGCAGATCATTCCCCAGTGCAGATGACCTACAAATTCAATCCAAACTCGGACTCGGTCTTGTGCATAACGGAAAATGCGCATTGAAATCATGCAGCTCTCGGCTGTACATTGATGTACAACAAGGTTGTATACCACGAAAGTTGGAGATGTCCAATACTCGAGTATGAACCGCACGAGCCCATAGTAAAGGCAAATTAATACGCACTTGTCTCATGCAAGACTTGTCCAGGGTGTGAAGAAATCAGATATCATCTTTGAACCAACATCTTGGATCTTTATTTCCATAGCATACCATTCGTCACACTACATAAACTCAAGGGAGGTTGCGGAAGGTAAGCGTCGATCACCTCTTTATCCCCTCCACCTATTCGAGTGCATCGACACTATAAGCTGAGGGGCCAAAACGAAGATCGGCGATAGCTCTCGGTGTCTCTTTTCCTTTCTACAAGAATCATTCTACAGTGTACAGTCGCAGCAAGCTCACTTCTGTGGCACGTACATCATTCACGCACGACCCGGGTCTTAAATCCGCCGAACCACATGTTATCGCAGAGGCTGGGACCTCACGGCGCACCCCGATGACGCATGTGGTGGTCTTGGGAGCATCCCACTGTGACCACAACATATCTCACATTTCACCTGGTATGCAGGTGCAAGGGGAGCTGAGAGCTAGACCCAGGCCATATTGAAAGCTGGAAGGTTGTCCCGATCTCGCGATGAGTGGGTCGGAATTCGATCTATGGGTTTCACAGTGATTAATAGTGTACAGGAACTAGAATGTATACAAAGTACTACATCGAGTCATATAGTTAACTATATATTATTGTATATAGTTACTACTTAGAACATCGGATACTCCGGTGTTGTCATCAGATGCAATAATGAGATACCCCGCTGTGAGAGTGGAGATAGTTAGAGATTCGGCGATAAGAGAAAGAATAGTAACCAAAGAAGAAAAAGGCGCATGCTGAGAGGCAAATTCCTCTCAGCGAATTCCTCTCAGCCTCGATTGAAAAGGTATATTGTATAGCCACATGTTTTGGGGGAGCCTGATGTCATTCGGACTAATGACCGTGACCTGCAAATGCAATAATCTTGTTTTCTTTACATTCTAGAAAGCGAAATCAGAGGGGAAATGAGGGAAATAAGGGAAATAAAGACCAAAGGAAGAGGAAATAGACCCCTTCCGGACCATTCTCTTGATATCTACAACATACCTAGGTAGGGCTATTGAACATTGTCACTCATCTTGGCTCTCCACATGACGTTGGATTCTTTTTTAATATTTTTTCTTTATTTTGTAATTTCTGATTTCTAATATTTCTCATTTCTCATTTCTCATTCTCATTTCCCCTCTTCAGACATACAACATAGTATACGAATTAGGAAATAAGGCGTAGATGACTCGGGAGCAAATACAAGAATCCATCAATGTCCTTTTATTTTTAGTTCCGGTTCTTTTTAGAACCTTTCATTTTATGGTCAACATCAGCTTCAGCTGGATTATATCTCATAAGATTATACCTTATATCTTATGTATGGGCTTATATTTCTTAATTATACACAGCCCAGAAACATAGATTATCAGTGAAACCCTTTTTTCTTTAATATCTTTCCAGTGGGGGTCCATATTACTGAAGATAATCCCACTTCTCCAGAACTAAATTCAAAAGAAAACTATCGAATATCCTATTTTTTTTTTTTTTTTTTGGTTTCCAAACCCCCAAAAGAACAAAAACCGAATACCCTAAGAAAACGTTCATTTTTTCTGGTTGGGGGAAATCCGAACGGGTTCAAATCCATCCCGCAAACTCCCTTAGCTCATCAAAAAATCCTCATTTCTTTTTTTTTCCAACTTCACCAACTTTACCCCCTCCCCCTCTTCCCCACTTCTCGCTCCCTCATTTTTCGACTTTCTTGAATGGAAACACAATGGCTGCGCAGAGTGGACCCGTGTTGCACGGCGACGACATGAAGACAATGAAGTGAGTCAACTTCTTATCTTTTCGTTCTTTTTTGGCTTGGGCATTCCTCTTGAAAAGGCGGGGTTGAAGAGGGAAAAAGAGGGTCCACGATCCCCTCACACCGCATTGCATTACAGTCTGTTCTTGTTAAGGGTGACCTGCATGAAACATTGCGTTTCAAGGCTTTTTCTCAATCCCTCGGTGTCTTCCCTTTCGTCTCGGGCCTTGTCGGAATTTGCCTACAAGCTTTGAATTGAAGATCTACCGGAGAGCTACCATTTCGTGGGCTAACCTTCCATCTCAATAGCTCTGGACTGGAAGACGATACTCAAGATCAGATCGGGTCAAATGGTTCTACCCCTACGCCGACTGGAATCGCAACGCCTGAGCCTGATCCGGCCGATAAGCGTCTGCCTTCCATTATGCACAACTACTTCCAGGTTGGTTCTTTCTCCGGTGATAAAGCGAGTCTGCCGCGGTTATGGTCATGTCTGCCGAAACCATCTGAGGAACTTGAATCAAATGCGCATACCCAACACTCCTCCGATTCCTCCGAGTCTTTTGTCATGATGGAGCAGGAAGATGGGTCTGATAAGATGGAGGAGGAACACCCCAATCTACACACCCCTCCACACTCCTTATTACAGCATGAGTCGGAGGAGATGGAACTCGGGACGAGTCCAGGAGTGTCCTCTATCTTTACAACGCTGAAGAGTTACCTCATTTCACCCACACAAACTCCTCCAGAAGACCCTCCTTCCCGCCGTCAAACCTCCCTCCCAGTATCCAGCATATCTGATGACCCCGTTCTTGCCACCCATTTTTCCAATCCATCCCTCCCTCCTGTTCCAGATGCCTTTTCCCTGACTGAAGCTCCCCTCCTCGACCATGAGAAACCGCATGTCTCAATATCTTCTGAGAACCTAGCCAAGCTAACTGAAAACGCGCCCGATGGGTCGTGTCTTAAGAATACCCCACCTCTTACTCCCCGGGCCATGTCCAACGAGGTCCCAACCGTCCAGGCAAAGACCCCCACTTCCGCCCCACAAGAGAGCTCGCAGGAGACTCAACAGTCCGAGACAAAGCCGGAAGACATGGAAAGCTCCACAGATGAGATCACTATGAAACTCGATGAAGCATTCCCATCTCAGCCCAAGTCTGAGACTGAGACTGAGCCTGCGTCTGCAACATCAGCCGACGGCGCGCCGACGGGTCCGATCAATGGTAAATTGTTTGTGAAGATCACCGATGGTCGAGGACTGCGGCCAAGTTTCGATCCGTATGTGGTGTGTGTATTCGAATGGAATGAGTATATCTCCAAAGGTGCTCGTGACGGCGAGGAGGAAAAAAAACGGCGCCAGCTGGAGTCAGATGCCGAGGAGGCTGCTGGTCGGCCCATGGCCATTCCGTTGAAGAGCCGATCTAGCTCTCACAACAGTGTTGTCGAAGGTGATCACAAGGGGCGGACTCCCGTGACAGACCCGCACTGGGATCACGAGGCCACCTTGTATGTTACCCCAGCCCAGCTCCTTAACTCGGATCACTAACTGACACGTTCTATTAAGTGATGTTATGGGAGATCAGTCAGAACTTGATGTCACAGTCTATGACCGCAACAACCAAGAAGCTTTCTTGGGTCACGTACGTCTCTGCATCAACCTTAAAGAAGATCACAGTCGATTAGAGGGCTGGTTCCCCTTGGTCGCGCGCGGTGCCGGTGACAACCAAGTGTCTGGAGAAATTCACCTCGATATGAAGTTCGAAAAGACAGATCGAAAGCAGGTCGGACCGAATGACTTCCTCGTTCTCAAACTTATCGGCAAAGGAACTTTCGGGCAGGTATATCAGGTCAAGAAGAAGGACACGCAGCGTATCTATGCGATGAAGGTTCTCTCCAAGAAGGTCATTATTCAGAAGAAGGAGGTGGTACATACACTCGGAGAGCGCAACATCTTAGTACGCACTGCGATGACGGCCTCTCCGTTTATTGTTGGGTTGAAGTTCTCCTTTCAAACTCCGACAGATCTCTATCTAGTTACGGATTACATGTCAGGCGGCGAATTGTTCTGGCACTTACAGCGCGAGGGTCGGTTCCAGGAGGCACGAGCGAAGTTCTACATTGCCGAGTTGATTCTGGCTTTGCAACATCTGCACGACCACGACATCGTATATCGGGATCTCAAACCGGAGAACATTCTGTTGGATGCCAACGGTCACATTGCGCTCTGTGATTTCGGTCTATCCAAGGCAAACCTGTCCCAAAATGACACCACCAATACATTCTGTGGCACCACTGAGTATCTGGCCCCGGAAGTATTGCTCGATGAGCAAGGATATACAAAGATGGTCGACTTCTGGTCCCTGGGTGTCTTGGTCTTTGAGATGTGCTGTGGCTGGAGTCCGTTCTA